TTTGGAAATGATCATGCAGACAATGGACTCCTGACTAGGTGCGTTCCAATAAGTCTTCCTACCAATATGAGACCATGTTGCGAAAACAAGGTCAAACAACCTCTTTAATATAAGATTGTTCGGGCTGCAAGAACTGCCTCACTCAACACTTTGAATGAGTCCGACTTTCCTACTTTCGTATATCAAGAAGCTATGCAAAATGATTTACCGATGACTTAAACGCTTTTGCTCCAGACTCATAAAATCAACCATCGACCTGAATTCGAGTTACCCTGGAGGCAGGGTGTTTGAGTGTACAGACTTGGTGCCAAAAGTTGAGGTAGACTGCACAAATGTGTATATCGCCTTCCCCGTTGTTTGATCGTACCCCTACGGGACCCAGTTTCAGGCCCACCTGATGGAGAGAACTCTCGGCCCGTATAAGGAGAGACGGTTCTGGGGACGATCTGGTCTTGAGCATTGGTTCTACTTATTCCTTTCGAAAAATATTTTTATACAGCCATTAGAAAATACATGAAGGACGTCTGAAAATGCTTGTTTTTTGGCGTGTTTTAGGTTCTATTCATACTATCAGTAGATCCTGTATAAGGATTATATTCACCCTAGATGGCATAAGCTGAGGAAGGACTGATAAATGAATTTTCCCACAATAATAGGAGCAGGTCTCACGATAACAATCAATTTCATTCGGTACAGTCTTCAAAAAAGTATTCTCCTCCGGGCTGGACTGGACTGCATCTACGAACTCGCCTGGGTATCATCAACTGCAACAACAAGACTCGAGCATATCGCATTTATATATCGCATTTACCACTACAATAAACTACGTTACTTATATACATAATGAGTAGTTTCGAGGCTATCAGTCAAGCTTGAATAAGAACCTGCATTGCGAGGCCTACTCATAGCATTGTGGGCGAATTTAACTATAAGTTATTCATCATCTTATGCAATTTAGGGTGAAAGCAGTTCTTATTCGATAGCTAAAGGTTGTCTCACAACTACTGAATATGAATATAAGTGGCGTGATTTATTGTAATGTAAAATAAGATATTGGAAAAGCCTGGTATGCCCTGAAATTCACATTCGCCCTGTGACCAACTGTCAAAACTTTAATAAAGACATGTAAAAAATACCTTATGCGTCATTGCCTGAACGGAAGAGGCGACTGAAGAAGGCATCCGATCGTGGTTGCCCCACTTCGAGGGTTTCTTGGTGTCTCATGAAAAAAAGTAAAGTTTGGTCAACATATTGGCCAAAGCTTTCCGAGAAGCCTCCAAGGTAGGTCAGAAAATCGGAATTTTAGTCGAAAAAATTTCCAATCAAGGGAAGTTGTCGATTTAAAAAATCCGCTTTTTCGAGTGCTGTAGAAGACTCACAAAGACCAAAATTAGCCAATTCTCTTGAGGTTAAAATGTGCTTGAATTGACGACTCAGATAGAATAGAAAGTATAAATTAAAAACTATCTACAGATAATTTTTCCGTACAAAGCCATACCTTTAATTGTTATGGCAAATAGAATTTTGCCTTTCGACACCAATTCCATGATGAAATGTACATTGAGAAAGGCCTAATTTGCCTTGAAGAAAAAATTAGACCCTGTGATCCGCTAACACACGTAACTTCATGGCAGGATGGCAGGCTCTGGCCAGCTCACGCACATGGAACTCGTAAGGCCTTATACTCATTTAATTGGGATAAATGTTATTATTACCGCCTTCACCACTAATAATAATAATTGTAATGACAATACCAATACTAATACTATCACTACTATCACTACCATCATCACCGCC